GAATTGAAAAATATCGAAAGTAAAAATATCGATTTAGCATTAACTGCTTAAATGTATAGAAGGGAAACTTTATGCATTATAATTATGCTCTGTCTACTTTTTATGTAGTCTATTTTAGCATTCGTCTCAATGAACATTCGCTCTTTTGAGCTGTCGTCGATTTGAATTTTGGTATGAGGGCGCAGTCCGATGTTGAGTAGAAAACGTTTAGCAAAGCAGAATTTCATGAGAGTGTGAAAGATAGCGCTATCTTCTGCCCTTCACACTCTCATGAAAAGCGTTTTCTGCTTTCGGTTTTCTGCTCACATGGGACTGCACCCTTAGGGTGAAATCACATGGAGAATTAAAAAGTAAAACGTCAAGCAGTTTTTCATGTGTGCAAGTGAGATAGAGAGATAGGCTATCCTTCCCACTCTTATGAAAAACTGCATGCATTTGACTTTTTACTTCTCCATGTGATTTCACCCTTAGGGTGCAGTCCCATGGAGGTCAAACACACTGTAAAAAATCAAAGAAAATTTTTCCCAGCGACGGGAATTTTCATTTAAAATCTCCAGTAATAGTACTACTTTTAATGTAGGGAAAATACATGCGCAAAATGAAAAAATACCAAATACTGTAATTTTCCTATTTTTAATATGGAGGTTTTTCGCTAGACGGTAAATTTGCCTCTTTTAAAGCGGTTAATAAAAGTTCCCACATTCAAAGAGGCGAAATAACTACGCACTGTGAAACTCATCGCGAAATTGAAAATTCTAGCTTCTAGTAATTTGCTTATTTTGAATGTTGGAAAATAACAAGTATTAGTAATACTACTTCGTGATGTGAAATTCCTACTTCTTGGAAGAATACTCTAGTGTGAAAAATTCCCATTTTGAATAATGTAAAATTGCCATTTTGATTGGGGTAAAATTAAGAATTTATGTAAAGTTACTTTTTCCCTGTTATAATAACATACTAGTCACTAATACTTGCGCGCTACGCGCGCCCTTGTTTTTATTATTTAAAATAGAATTATTTGAAAATTAAAGAGCTTCTAACATTATTGTAATGTTAGAATTAAATTTTTAGAATTTTCTTTTTGTAATATAATTTCAAAAAAATTGCTCTGCTGTTACTGCAATGCATTTCTACGTTTTCTTGGGTTGATATTTATTTGATATATTCATAATTGAAAATGTCTATAAAAAATCAATTATAACTTTCAAAGAACATTATTATTATAATATTAAAAACCCGAAAAATTAAACTCGTTTCATATAGGATTTTAATATTTATTAAAGCAGTATTCCTTAAACATTTGAAATTTATAAAAAAATTAATGTTTGTGTTCTAATTTTGGTTATATTAAGGTATCATTTTAAACAAACAACATTTGACATTTTAATAATGAAACATTTCAACAATTTCTATTATTTATCATCAAAAATGTTCAAGTATATTTCTTCTAATTCTAAACATCCAGTTCTATGAATTTTGAAAACAAAAGATTCAATAAACGAAAATAAAAATTTGTTCCACTTATTCGCTTGTGTCCATTTAATTATAATATTTTTCAATTTTGAAAAAATGTCGTAATTTATATTCATATATAATAAAGATTTTTTGGAATCCAATAGATACATGGAATTTCTATGATCTTTTTAATTGCATAATAATGTATTTACCATCCATGACAAACTTAACCATCAGTAACTTACAAAAAGGTTAATATTTATCTTCAATTTCACTGCAGAAAAGGCAAAATGAAATTGAATAAATATTCAGAACTATCATTTTCTCGAGCATCACTAAATACCGAAAATTTTGTAGAAGAATTTCTGTCAAAAAATTAATTTCCAAAGCATTTCCGTCAAAAAATTTATTTCTGAAAATTTTTAGGAAATCTTCTCACGTGGATTCTTATATTTGTATTAATATATAGAATTAATCATATCAATTTTATTGATTAATATATTAATTTTTATATAATTATAAAACTATATAAATTCTGTATTATATAAAATAATATTTTACAGTTATCTTACAGTAATATTACATGGTAATGCAAAGGTAATACCAAAATTTTTTCCTACCTTAGATTCGCAAGATATAATATCGATAATTTAAAAAAAAAATAATTTTAATTTTGGAAACATACTTTCTTATAGGAAATTGAATGGCGCATCTTTTTGTTCTTTAATTTTTTGTTGTAAAACAAATATTTTAGAAGATAATAACTACAAACTGAAAATTTTAAATTCATAAAATTAATTAAATTTTAAAACATAAACCATCATATCTTTGGTAATTATTAAAGGATTCGATTGATATATCGTATAGAAAAGCAGTTGGTTTTAAAGAAGGCAAAAATGAAATAAAAAACTTAAAAATGATCAATTGTTTAACAATTTTCCTTTATTAATTAAGACTTGTCAGAAATTCTGTTTTCTTACTTTTGCAGATAAAAAGTCTGCGGGGAACTTTAAAATTGAGAAAACTTGCAGTGAGAGATTAGTTTATTAGTATAAAAGGAAGTTTTTTGGAACGTTTGAAAACGATTCGTCAAAAACTAATAAAAATATTCATAAACTAAAAAAATTCGCTACGCCGTATACATAGCTACGTCAGCAGATGTATACAGTTTCTAGTTTTTCCTGTGTTAATACAAAATTCCAATGAAAACAATAACTATTTACCCATCTATTAATTTAACAATTATTTATCAATAAAATTACATTTGCTTTTACATTAATTTTTATATTTTTATTTAACAATCAGAATAATAAAATTCATTCAATTATTAAGTACTTTTGACTATCAAACTGAATAACATTTAATTATTATAAGACTCACATATAATTTTTAGTCATTTGGAAATATATTAAAATTAATGTTTTATATATAAGTTAAAAGTTTTATTCTAAGACGATAATATAGAATAGAACATTAATATTATTCAATTTGATTTTATAAAATCAAATATTTTGCATTTCTTATCACAGTTTAATATTTTTTTAATTTTTTTACGTCGTAACAGTATAAAAGATTACAGGACCCTGCACAAAATACATTAAAAATCCCTTTTCCGTCAAATAGTTTGGAACTTTGTGACAGTGAAGTTGAAGTAATTCTAAGCAAAAGCTCTCTGGGTCACAACCCCAATTTCCGGGCCAGCTTACCCGCTAGAAGCTTTTAAGGTTAAAAGAAGAGAGTTATTTCTTCCTACCGTTCTACCTAAAAAATTCAATATTTTCCTTACTTCTTTGTAAGTACGAACTTTGAAGTACTAAAAATAATAGTGTAGTTTTTAGTGTAGTGTAGTGCACTGTAGTGCAATGCAGTATAGTACAATAAAGTACAGTCTACTATATTCTGTCATAGTGCAGTGCAGTGCAGTAAAGTAAAGTATGGTAAACTAAAGTACAGTATAGTATAGTACAGTAAAGTATAGTATAGTACAGTATAGTATAGTATGGTACAGTACAGTATACTACAGTATAGTATAGTACAGTACTATCCTATATTATACTTTACTGTACTATACTATACTGCACTATACTATATTGTACTGTACTCTACTATACTGTAATTTACTGTACTCTACTATACTATACTATAGTATAGTCTGTTATAGTGTAGTATAGTATAATATAGGATAGTACTGTACTATACTATACTGTTGTATACTGTACTGTACCATACTATACTATACTGTACTATAATATACTTTACTGTACTATACTATACTGTACTTCAGTTTACCATACTTTACTGCACTGCACTGCACTATGACAGACTATAGTAAATTGTACTTTATTGTACTATACTGCATTGCACTACAGTGCACTACACTACACTAAAAAAGTACATTATTACTTTTAGTACTTTAAAGTTCGTACTTATAAAGAAGTAAGGAAAATATTGAATTTTTCAGGTAGAACGGTAGGAAGAAATAACTCTCTTCTTTTAACCTTCAAAAGCTTCTAGCGGGTAAGCTGGCCCGGAAATTGGGGTTGTGACCCAGAGAGCTTTTGCTTAGAATTACTTCAACTTCACTGTCACGAAGTTCCAAACTATTTGACGGAAAAAGTACTGTACTGTACTGAACTTTACTTTACACTATAACCTTATATATATTTCCAAATTTGCCTTTATTCCAATATAATTAAACCAATTTTGCTTTAATTCCAATATAACTAAACCAATTTCCAATTTTGCCTTTAATCCAATATAACCAAACCAATTTCCAATTCTGCCTTTATTCCAATATAGCAAAATATATTTCCAAATTTGCCTTTAGTCCAATATAAATAAATCAATTTCCAATTTTGCTTTTATTCCAATATAACCAAACCAATTTCCAATTTAGCCTTTATTCCAATATAACAAAACCAATTTCCAATTTTGCCTTTAATCCAATATAACCAAACCAATTTCCAATTTTGCTTTTATTCCAAAATGACCAAATCAATTTCCAATTTTGCCTTTAATCCAATATAACCAAACCAATTTGCAATTCTACCTTTATTCCAATATATTACATTTGAAATAATTTCATTCCTTTAATGAAATATGTTAATTAAGATAATCCAAGAAATAAATTTATGCTATATATTTTTGCCATTTTTATTTTCTCCTTCAATGTTATAAAACAGTAATATTGTTTACTATTAAAAACATCCGTAAAAACATTTATTGAACTGATTCACATTTGGAGACTAATCTTTTCAATCCAATCAAGTCAAATCTTTTGGCATGGTTAGGAGAGGATATTTTCGAATATTTAAAAAATTTCATACTGGTCGTACCCTTTAATGTAATGTTGTATATTAAAAACCATAAATACATAAAGATATATTACACTAAACAGAATTAAAATTATTCAAAAATTTCACTATATACATAATTTTTTATATATTTATTACTTCTATTATCTCCTAAATATATTTTTACAGAATCAAATGATTTAACTCTTCATAATGCAACATACATCTGACCGTGATTGAAGACATCTCTTCTCAAATCAATGGATATTCTGTTGAATGTTTGCCCTTGAGATTTATTGATATAGTCATTGCGAAAGCCAATTTTATAGGAAATTGTCTTCTTTTAAAAGTAAATGGATATAAATTTTCACAATATAGAGTTACTCTATGTAAAAAAACAATATTTCCACTCTTATCTCCAGTCAATATTTGACATTTAATAACATTATGTGATAAATCTAAAATAATTAACCTTGTTCCATTACATAAACCTTCATTAATACTAAGGTTTCTAATTAGCATTACAACTGAATTAATTCTCAAATGTAATTCATGTGGTGGTAAAGCAGGCGGAGAGAGAGTATTTAAATATTCTGGTAACAAGACTTCCGCAAAACTTCCATTATCACAATTTTCAGTAGAATCAATACTTTTATACATTGTTTCCCCATTACTGTCTAAGAGACGCACCACTCTCTTATTAATATCATCAACGTCAACGTTTCTAGGTGCTAAAATTACACACACTGGCAACTCTCTAAATTTATTCTGTTGTATCAAATGACCATACATTTCTTCAGCAATATCTACATTTCCATGTTGAATAATATGTTCTGGTAATTTAACATTATCATCTACATCATTTAATTCACCATTGCCCACTTTGAGTAGAAAATCTACAAATTCCGTCTCCTGTGGTAAGGCTCTCATATTTTCTGTTAAAGTGTATTTTTTGAAATGTTTCCATAGTTTACTGTTCTTTATGGATAAATTTACTATTTCTGATCTAGTGCCTCGTTCTTTAATTGGCAAAGTTTGTCTAAAATCTCCTCCTAGAATTACAATTTTACCACCAAAAGCAACATTTGATTTCATTATATCTCTTAATAGATAATCCATAATTTCTGAGGCATATTTTGGAGCCATTGGTGCTTCATCCCAAATAAAAACATCTATATTTTTTAAAAAGAGTCCCTCTTTTGACTGAACTTTAATGTTTGAAGTTGAATCACTATACAGTGGAACAGGTAATCCTAAAACTTTATGAACAGTTTTCCCGTTAGGAAGCAAAGTGGCAGCTATACCCGTAAATGCCATGTTACAAACATTCACTCCTTTGCTTCTTAATAAATGCCATAATGTAATGTATAAAAAAGTTTTTCCAGATCCTCCACAACCATTGACATATAAGCATTTAGAACCATTTAAAGAAGAATCTTTTATGACTTGAAGTATATAGTCAACTACAACGTTCTGTTTTACATTTAATGTATCATAATTTTGTTCTCCTATCTTAATATGTTCTAACATATTTATATCGTCAACTTGTATAGAACGATTTTCATCTTCTATGTCTAATAATCCTTGAAAGTCAGTTAAATTGTATCCTTCATTAAGTAACAGTGATTTTATATTTCTATAAGCCATATTTTCAGCCTCAATATTGTTAATTTTTGAAAAATCTTCTGACAGATGCCTCTTAAATTGTTCCCAAAGTTTATCCGGGTGAACAGGATGACAATGAATTAAAATTCTTACAAATAATTGGCGAAGTGAATGAGGCATCATCCATAAAGTAGCTTCTTCTATTGTTCTAATCCACTCAGTATCATCTTCCACAAGTCCTAATGCCAAACAAGCAGATGTAAAAGATTCAAGCACGACTCCATTAACTGTTCTTAAACTTTCAAAAGAAGTTGCTCCTTTTACTGTAAGCAACAATAATCTCAGGTGAAATAATTCCATTTGAGACGGATTAACTGAATACATTCTTCCCAATACTTTTTCCTTACGAATTCTTTGTTTCCATTCAACAGATTTTGTTATCCACGTATAATGTTCTGGTATTTCTGAATAGTAATACTGATGAGCATTACTATCACGTTGGTTAAGTTTAAAGTAATCCAGTAATTTTGTATTTTTCTTCAAATCAAAAGAAACAACGTTACTATCTTTTCCTTCTCGAATAATAACATTCTGTTCATTTGGTAAATGTATGGGTAAACGATTAATACTATGACTCTTTTTTCCTAAAGGATTACTTAGAATTCTCCAAACTGCCTCAACAGGACCAACATATCTATTTTCTTCATAATGATTTATTTCATTGTGATTCACAGTTACCTCACCATTCGCATTTGTGATAACAATGGATGCAGCATCATGCCCCTTGAAAATATATTTATATAAATATTTAACAGATTTGATACTCGAAACTATTACCACATTTATATGACAATTAAATATTTCTGATAGCTTAGGACAATACGGAACAACATTAGAATTATCAACAACAAATCCATTTGGTCGTTCATACGTTCTATTATTATTTCTTCGACGACAATGAACATAGCAATTTTCTTCAATTGTAGTTTCATTTTGGTATGGTTTTGGAAAATTTTTTAAACATTTTCCATCAATCAAACACCAATCTCCACAAGGTCCGTGAATGTTATTTTGCATTATTATTTTATGTAAGGTAGGATTAATATTTTCATCAGGAATTTCTGCAGAAATATAACGATCAATACTTTCAACTGTCAATATTTTAGAATTTTCTTTCAATATAACTAACAAATGAATGTGTGGCAATCCTCGCTTTTGAAATTCAATAACATAAACATAAGACTTTACCTCTCCAAATAATTTATTATCAACAATAACTTTTAGCAGATGTTTCACTTTTAATGCAAAAACCCTAGTTACTATATCAGGTCTATCAGCAGCAGTTTGGTGGGGTAATAGATTTTCCTTTATCTCTTTCCAATTTGGATTACATGTCATTGTAATAAATAAATCCGGTTTACCATGACGAGCAACAATAGCCATGGAATCTTGATATTGTTGCATCATATTGCGAGGAGATCCTATAAAAGTAGAAGGCAATATAAGCATTTTTCCAACGTGTACATCATTTTCTAACTCACGATTATGTAAATAATCAATCAGTCCTTTATATGTTTCACTTCTCAATTGAGCTTGATTATTTGCACAAAATCTTAATCTATCTTTTTCTATTTTTACATAATTATCAACTACCCATTGTTGAAAAAACCGCCCGCCATATAAGAATTGATTAAATTCCTTATCTCTTATTGCGATTTTGTATTTCACATAGGCAGACCTAGAAATAGTAAGGTTTCTTCTTCTATAATCACTATCACTACGAATCATATTAATATTATAACCTTTATTTCCAAGTGGGTAAAATATAGGATAAATCCAAGGTTCAACATTGGGATCCAAATTACTTACTAATTTTAATTCCTTTGTAGATTTATTATAAACCGTTACATAGGATTCTGGTATTTCTCCTTCTGAGTTTGTATTAAAAATTGCAGCAACTTCATTAAAACTTTGAAAATTGTATCTTTTTTTATCTAAACCTTTCTTCAACGTAAATAATAATTGTAATTCAGGAATATCTTCATTTCTTTTTCTTGCTAATTCAGCTTCCATTTTAATTACTTCTGACATCATCATAAAAGATTTTGTGTATACATTAGAATTTCGCATAATATTTTCTATAGTTTTTAAGACTTCTTCATCCAAAATATAATTACTTTTTTTTCAGTAACAAATTGCTTCTTCAAGATCATAAATCTTCATCTTTATCCGGATATAAAGTGCTATTAATTTGATAGTAAATTTGACCTTGAATTTTGTAACAAAATGGTCTTCTTCTCCTGCCATTAAAGTTAATTACATTAGCATTCAAAGATGCAAAAGAAAATGAATTATTATACAATCTTATATTTTTTTTAAAATGGCCAGATTTCTTATGAATACCTTCTAGCAAAAGCCTTAATTCATTGGGATATTCTACTGAACCTATCACAACACCACCATGACCACAGCAATCATTAAAACTACCTTTTTTAGTGGCAACTTTTTCGTCTTTAAAATGTTTAGCTTGACAATGTGTGCAGTAAAAATTCATCGAACCAAGATAATTTTCAACATTGTTTGATTTAAATGGCATATTATCATTTAAATCTGCATTTGATATTGATGGAGTAGAAAGAATCAAATTAGAATTTACATCATTTACTTTCTTCATTTACTTATTTAATTTAGATTTTAATTGTGTTATTTGCTAATTTTTTATTTCTCTTTCTTTATTAATTTTCTTTAAGTTTACATGAGAAGAATTTGTATCATACTGAAGTTGTTTTTTTTCATATTCGGCATGGAGTTTATTTTTTGTTGAAGAGTCTTCTTCATCTAAATAATTTGATGTATCTTTTTTACGTTTTAAGTTTTGCCTCTCACGATAACTTTTTTGAATCTCAGCTCTACTTTTTTTAACTGTTGTTGATGCAATATTTTCTTCTTTTTTGAATATGGCATGAAGTTTTTCTTTTGTCGAACAGTCTCCTTCATATAAACAATTAAAATTATCAATTTTACGTTTTAATTTTTGCCTCTCACGATAATTTTTTTGAATTTCAGCTCTACTTTTTTTTAGTGTTGTTGATGCAATATTTGCTTCATTTATCTTTTTCATAATTATCGGGCAAGATTCTCTACACTGTAGTTGTTTATCTTTTTCTGTTAAAAGACAATTCCAGTCATATTCAACTCTGCAAGATCTACTATTAAGAACTTGAACAGATGGAAAATTCCTTAAATGATTGTTTTTGAACATTAACATTAAATGATTTCTCATATTACAATAATAGTAATTGACAGAATGGGGCATAATATTAAAATATAGCGATGTTCCGAATGCTATTGCATATATTCCACAAGCAAGACTATTTTCTGGTTGTTGATCAACAATTGTGAAAATTACTGGTGGTTTAAAAGGATATAATCTAATTAAAAATTTTTTCTGATCTTCATTTAAACATTTTTTGTTAAGACTATCAAAAATGTAAAGGCTTTTTCCATCATAGTAAGTACAAATCCAATGACACATTTATGAGAACCACTAAAAAGTATTTGAATGTGCTGCTTATTTATCTCGATTGGATATATCATATCAAGTGCTTGTAAAAATAAAGTATTTTGCATATTATAAAATAAATTTGATTCTCTTCCCAATAACTTTTGAAATTCAAACATATGATCATTATTTAACATTTGTCCTTCAGTAATTACAATACTTAAATCATTATCACTCAAATTAACAATTTCTCCTTTGTTTGTCATTGCTTTTTTTATTTAAAAAATTTACAGATATAACGAAATTGAAATTTAGAAGATCAATTTCAAATTTTGCCTTTATTCCGATATGACCAAATCCATTTCCAATTTTTCCTTTAATCCAATATAAACCAACCAATTTCCAATTTTGCCTTTATTAAAAAATGACCAAATCAATTTCCAATTTTGCCTTTAATCCAAAATAACCAAAACAATTTCCAATTTTATCTTTTTTCCAGTATAACCAAACCAATTTCCAATTTTTCCTTTTTAGGGTTCCGTACTCGGTTCGGAACCCTATTAATATCGGTTTTTTTGAAATCGTGTACCCCCCCCCCTAGCGGCCACACAAATTTATCTAGAGAGCTGAAAATTAGTACACATATGTATTTTCGCGTGTAGATTATAGGAAAAATATAGCGAACTTGATTGGAATTGATTATCATAGCGTTGTCAAGGAAAAACCATGAATTTTTACGAAAAATGCCTAAAAATGACTATGTACCCCCCCCTAGCGGCCACATCTTTTGACATAAAAAGCTCAAATTTGGTATACTTACGTATTTTTACGTGAAAATTACAGGAAAAATATAGCGAACTTGATTCCGATCAATTTACATAGCGTTGTCAAGGAAAAATCAAAAATTTCGAAAAAAATGATTTATTCTCCCTAGCGCACACAATATTCAACACAGACAGTTTATATTTAGTATACAAATGTATTTTTACGGGAAAACTACAGGGGAAAAAAAGCGGTCACGATTAGAGTTGATGATTAACTTTTTATCAAGTTTTTAAAAAAAAAATGACAATTTTAGGAAAAAAATGTATTTTTCCAGCAAAAACGAACAAAATTTTATTTAAAGGAAATTAAATTTATATATTATAACGTATTTTTACGTGTAGATTACAAAAAAAATATAGCGAGCATGATTGGAGTTGATTATCATAGCGTTGTCAAGGAAAAACCATGAATTTTTACGAAAAATACCTAAAAATGACTATGTACCCCCCCCCCTAGCAGCCACATCTCTTGACATAAAGAGCTCAAATTTTGCACACTTACGTATTTTTACGTGAAAATTACAGGAAAAATATAGCGAACTTGATTCGAATCAATTTACATAGCGTTGTCAAGGAAAAATCAAAAATTTCCAAAAAAATGATTTATTCTCCCTAGCGCACACAATATTCAACCCAAATTGTTCATATTTGCTGTAAAACTGTATTTTTGCGTGAAAAATACAGGGAAAAAATGTAAGCACGATTGGAGTTGATGATCAATTTTTATCAAATTTTTGAAGAAAAATGATAAATTTAAGAAAAAAATGTATTTTTCCGCAAAAAAGTTGATCTAAAGTTATTCAAATTTATATATTTTGACGTATTTTTACGTGTAGATTACAAAAAAATATAGCGAGGATGATTGGAGTTGATTTTTCTGGGTCTGTCAAGAAAAAACTGATAATTTTAGAAAAAATCATGAATTTTCTCCCAATAACGGAACAAATTTTTTCTAAAGGGCTTCAAATTTTCTATTTTTACGTATTTTTATGTGTAGATTATAGAAATAATTTAATAAACATGATTGAGTTCATTTCTTCAGTCGTTACAACTCTAAAATAAAAAAAATCGGACAAGTGCGAGTTACACTCGCACTGAAATCGAGGGTTCCGTACTCGAAGCGAACTTATTTGGTATAAAAACAAATGTTTAAAAAATATGTGTTGTATGACAACTAATATAAGTGATATGAAGAGGAACAATTTTCTTGAATTTTACAAAATTGTTCCTCTTCGTATCACTTATATTAGTTATCATACAACACATATTTTTTAAACATTTGTTTTTATACCAAATAAGTTCGCTTCGAGTACGGAACCCTCGATTTCAGTCCGATTTTTTTTTCCAGTATAACCAAACCAATTTCCAATTTTTCCTTTATTCGAATATAACCAATCTAATTTCCAATTTTGCCTTTTTTCCAGTATAACCAAACCAATTTCTAATTTTTCCTTTATTCCAATATAACCAACCAATTTCCAATTTTATCTTTTTTCCAGTAAAACCAAACCAATTTCCAATTTTGCCTTTGTCCAGTATAACCAAACCAATTTCTAATTTTTCCTTTATTCCAATATAACCAACCAATTTCCAATTTTGCCTTTATTCAAAAATGACCAAATCAATTTCTAATTTTTCCTTTATTCCAATATAACCAATTTCCAATTTTGCCTTTTTTCCAATATAACCAAACCAATTTCCAATTTTACTTTTTTCCAATATAACCAAACCAATTTTGTCTTTTTTCCAATATAACCAAACAAATTTCTAATTTTGCCTTTATTCCAATATAACCAACCAATTTCCAATTTTATCTTTTTTCCAGTAAAACCAAACCAATTTCCAATTTTGCCTTTTTTCCAGTATAACCAAACCAATTTTTCCTTTATTCCAATATAACCAACCAATTTCCAATTTTGCCTTTATTCCAATATAGCAAAATATATTTCCAAATTTGCCTTTAGTCCAATATAAATAAATCAATTTCCAATTTTGCTTTTATTCCAATATAACCAAACCAATTTCCAATTTTTCCTTTATTCGAATATAACAAAACCAATTTCCAATTTTTCCTTTATTCGAATATAACCAATCTAATTTCCAATTTTGCCTTTATTCCAATATAACCAAACCAATTTCCAATTTTACCTTTTTCCAATATAACCAAACCAATTTTGTCTTTTTTCCAAAATAACCAAACAAATTTCTAATTTTGCCTTTTATTCAATCAACACAACAATATTTATTTTTAACAACATTACTTACTGCGTATGCTCACGAAGTTCACTTTATATTCATTAAATTCACTTTATGTCTTATATATTCACTATGTTCACACTAAATTCACTTTATATTCACTCACAATCAGTAAGTGAATTTTTTTTTATTAGCTTAAATATTTTTCAAGTATTCAAGTAACTGTTGTACTTGACAAACCGAAATTATTCTACAATATGAAGATTTTAAAATTATCATTTCGTTTAGAGGGTATATATATATATATATATATATATATATATGAACAATAGAACCTTTATTTTTGAGTCTTAACTCTGAGGACCCAGGTAATATTTTCTTTCTCCCTTTATTGCATGGAAATTATTAGAACTACTATCGTAGTCAAAGTAAAGTTTTACTGTCTCTCTCTATTATAAGCAAATAACATAAATTGCTCTCTCTTCAGGTAACGCTTTTGCTTCTCTCTCTTTCCACTTAAATATAGCATAAAATTATCTCCCTTCAGGTAACGCTATTGCTCTCTTCTT